TTCTCTTTCTGGTTTTCACTTCCCAAACATTGGAGGAGTGGTTTGGCCCTTCTGCTATGCTGTGGTGTGGTGTGGTGTGGCCCTTCCACCACAGTCCTCCAAAAATGGAGCCAATAAATTCTCAATGGAAACTTCTAAACCTATAAGCCAAGTGAAACCTTTTTCTTTTCATAAATTGATCGTCTCAGGTGTTTGCTCTGGCAATGGAAAACTAACACACAATCCCAATGATCCTATACAAGAGTACACATTTAGTCATACATCCAAGCTCCTTCAATGTGAACCCGCTTCCCCAAGCTCTCCATTTTGTTCCTTTACTGAGAATAAGAGTTCATTCACTTTCCTTCTCTTGCTACCCCAGGGCCCCACATCGCGCACTGGGCTTGGATTGCAGCCATTTCCCTTCCACAGAATGCTTGCTGAATAAAGTAATTATGTTTCACTCTAAGCATGGCTCCCGTGGAATGCATCACAGAAAACTCTTTAGCTCTTGATCATCAGGGATGCTGTTTATCAGGAACTGTCCTGGCAGAGGCAGAATTTTGGCTGGTCTCATGCCCAACCTACCCAGAATTCCCTGAAGGCAGGACCCAAAGGCCTGGTGGTATTTAACTTCAAGGTCTTATTGCTGATGAGATTTTATGGGTCCGAGAACAAACTTTACCCCTTGAGAGGCCTAATTTCTCTCCCATAAACTATGCCTGAATCTGTCCATAGAAGTAGCGGACACAGAGGCCACCTGCACACATCTTCCTCTCCTCATCTGAAGTGCATAACTAAGTGTATTATACTCCTGGGAACCATGCAACATTGGCATTGAGGACTAGAAACTGGTGAGAGTGTTTCTGATTTGCAGCAAGTAATGTCTCCAACTATGCATGCTTATTTGTGCATACATCTATGAGCATGCAACCTCAATATATGTACATCTATTTATAAATCATGTGAATGTGTAATTCTACTACACACAACATTCACTAGAAATATAAAAGAGGTCTTTTAGGAAATAAGATAACAATGTAATAATCCAAGATTTAAAAATTGATATTTCGTGTACTAATGGAATTCTTTGTCTTTTCTTTTTAGTAAAATACATATTATAGTGATCATAAGTTCCAGATCAAGTTTATCCTAATTCACCATTAAACATTAGTGATCAGCATGTCAAAATTAAGGCTGATCCGAAGAAGCCAACAGATCTACAAAGAAGAGTAGCACAGGCTTGCTGAAAAATTTATGATTTGCATACTTTAAATCCAAATCTCCTAGCCTATTTGCTGTTGGATCTGATTTACTGCCATTTCTAATCTCAGTGAGTATACCTAGACACTCTTGCAGGACTAGGACTAGTGTCCTTCTAGTATCTCCTGGCATTTGCCATTCACCTTTTAGTAATATCACATTCACTTCATCACTTCCTTAAAATCAGGAGGGGGTTAGCATAATGAAAACCACAAACAAATGTGCAGGTGTATACAAGGAGCCAGCCACAAACTATGGTATTTGGCAGTGTGAGGGTGACTGCAGTTTGTTCATGTTAAGGATGCCCTCTTTTTTCTTGATGCCTGAGTTACTGAAATAGGACTCATGGCTGTTTACCACATGAACAAACAAGGTCTTCAGAGCAATCTGAATTTAACTACTAGTGATTCTTGATGTATTTCTTTTTTTAGATAAAATAATTTTAAATAGATGTTCCACTGTTTTCTTCCCACATCCTCACGGTGATCTTTTGCAACCTTGAGAGGGCTCAGTCCACCTTGGAGACCAGTTTTAAATAATAGAAAATTATTCAAGATTTTGAGCTGGGCTTGACGGCCCTTGTCTGTAATCCCAGCACTCAGGAGGCTTGAGTTTGAGGCAGCCTAAGATATATAAGGAGTTCAAGGCCAGCCTGTACCCTGTGTTAAAAATAAATTTAAGAGAAGGATTTTGTATGAAAAAGCTTTACCTTCACCCTCCTTCCTCACTTGGCTAAGCCAAGGCTGTAGTATGTTCTCTCTGATCCCAAGTTGCCTCTCTCACAAATACAGTCTGTACTGCCTAATTCTGCCTTTGGTTGTAAAAAGCCAGGAGGTAAGGAATAGAAAAGCATCAAATACAGGATGACATGTGACCTATTGAAGTGTTCTGTTCTTATAAACATGGGGTCTGAAGAGGAAAGCAGAGTGGCATGCTGAAGTATCCCCTTGAGCCCCAAAAGCAGAAGCAGAGCCCAGGCTCAGGCACCCAGGCTCCCAACCAAGGGATCTCATTACTATTCCATGCAACCAAATGAGTAGTGGACCATGGAATCAGAGTTTCCCAAAGATGCATGAAGCTGTGCCCCATTAAGTCCAGCCCCTGGTCCTCACCAGAACCACCTTGAGTCCCCAGAATCTCTTCCCATCCCTGCCGCTAATTACTGGACATTAATTATATCGCTTATCCATTTGAAACTAGAGTCTAACCTTGAGAGTAGATTGCACATTTGCACATCCTCCTCATCAAGACGTGGTGTCTATTTGCCTACCCCAAATTTGAGCCAGTCTCATGACTTGCTTTAATCAGAAGGATGCATTAAAGACAACTGTACGCAAATCCCAAGGCCGGAAATCAAAAGTTAAGTAAGTTAAACAGATATTTCTCTACAAAAGATATACACATAAATGGCCAACAAGTTTATGAATAAATGCCCAACATCATTAATCATCTGGAAAAGAAAAATGAAACAGCAGTGAGCTATGACTATTATAAATGGAAGGTCTCATTAACTGTTAGTGGTATTGCCATTAGTTCAGCCATTATGGAAAACAGTATAAAAGTTTCTTCAGAATCTAGAAATGGAGCTACCAAAAGAGCCAGCAGTTCCACTACTGGATAGATATACATTCAAAGGAAGGAATCACAGTACCCCAGAGAGTCACCCCCATGTTTAGGGCAGCACTAGTCACAGAACCTCATACACGGATTCAAGAGTGTGTCCGCTGACAGATGAACAGGGTGCTTCGTCTTCACTGCTAACTCAGTAAAAGCGAAAGATTCCTAGAAGGTTACTAAAGTACACTTTGGGATGTGTATGGGTGGGTCATGGGGGCATGACCTTGAGGATGACATCTGGGGCATTGCTTCTTCTCTGGCCCTTTTTTATTTTTCAGTACTGGGGATTGAAGCCAAAGGCTTCTTAACTGAGCTATATCCCCAGCCTTTTTTTTTTTTTTTTTTTTGAGACAAGGTCTCACTAAGTTAGTAAATTGCCCAGGTTGGGATTGAACTTGCAGTCCTCCTGCTTCAGAGTCCTAGACTGTTGGGATTACAAGCATGAATCAACATGCCAAGATCATCTCAGGTTCTGTTCCTACTCTACTCCTTAGGTGGCATGAGTTGAACAGCTTTTCCTCTGCCAAGCCTTTCTACCATAGTGCTTCTGCCTTAGAACCACTCAACCATGGGTTGAAAACTCTAAAACCATGAGTCTAAATAAAGCTTTTCTCCTTTGACTTGAGTATGTCAGGTGTTTTGTCCTCTCAACATCAGACAGGTGACTAATACACACACATGCACACACACAAACGGGGAGATTATTGAGCCACAGAAAGAATGAAATTTTGTCATTCGTGGCAGCACAGATGAGCAGCGGTGAACACCTTTCCTTAGGTGAAATCATCCAGGCTCAGAAAGACATAGCATCTTGACTTACATGCAGAAACTAAAATATTGACCTTAGAGAAATAGAAAATAGAATAATGGTTACCAGAGTCAGGAAAGGATGTTGGGGAGGAGTGAATGGAGAGAAAATCAATGAGTCCAGGTGGACAGAAGGAAAAACTTCTAATGCTAGAATAATAATAATAATAATTTAGGGTGACTGTGGATGACAACACTCAATCAACTATATTGATATAGTTAGTAGAGAAGATTTAGATGTCCCCAACAAAAAGCAACCTTATATTATGCAAGTGATAAATATGCAGTTACCCTGACCTAACCCTTACAGATGGTGTGCATACAGTGAAATACATACTTCACTCATAAATATATAAAAACTCTTTAAAAGGTTTTTTTTAAAAAGAATTTGTGTATGCTGCCACTGTGTCTTTTAGAACCTAGCTTCCAGGTCTAAAAGCCCAAGCTGGCTTCCTGGAGGATGGAGACTACAGGGAAAGAATCAAGAGCATCCCAGCCTGGGGCCCCCAGACCTATGAACAAGCCCAGCTGAGACCAGGCAGACCTGGTCCAATTGAGGCCAGCCCAAACTGCTCCCTCAGAATTGAGATACATACACTGAAAATGGTGATCATGTGCCACTAAGTTTTAAGGTAGTTTGTTCTGCAGCAAAAGTGAACTGACAGACACCCTAGCTTTGGATACTCACTGACTCTAAGTCGAGTACTTAACAAATTCAGGTTCTAAGGACTTTGGTTTCCTGGTCAGTGGCCTGGGGAGAGTCACAGACCCTGTGAATACATGTGATTCTACTCTGCGAGTAGCTGTTCTATGCAACCATGTCACCTCTTACAATTTACAGTGACCCTGAGAGGGAAGCCTACAACAAAGCACCGAGATAACGTATGTTTGTCAGAATGCGTCCTCAGCAGAATGAAGGCAATATACTTTATTATGTTTGTAAGAAGGATGTTTGTAAATACAAACATGCTCAGTTTTCAAAGACCTAGATTTAAATGTTACTACATATGAATGTGGGGAAATGGTTCCCCTAAATACTGAGCATATTAACGTTTTTATCAGAGCTTCACAGACAAGCTTCACTTTCCACAAATTCTTAATGTATTTAATAGAAAAGGTAATTTATAAGAGAGAAAGTAGAAAGGAGATAAATTAGCATTTTATATTATTGGTTCACATATACTTTTATTTTCAGATGCACTAAAAGTTGGAATTTTCCACTTCTTCATTGATTCCTCCTTCATTGATTCCCCAGTATCTAATCGGACCTCTATGCCATGCCATAAAAAAAAAAAAATACACACACAGAAATACAGAATGTGAAGCATACTTACCCTCTCTGAAAGAGATCCACATTATAAAATTTATGCAGCTCGACCGAAAACTCAACCGTTCCTTGTACTTCACACATGATCCTTTTGGTTCATTACCTGAAAAAGAGAGAAATTAACAACTGAGATATCATCAGATGAGCACAAAGGCAGGAGCCTGGTTTCTCCAACAGGAAACCAAACCATGCATGGGTAGGCAAGGGTATCTGACAGTGGGCCCAACAGGAGCAGCCCAAGTCTGCTCAATACCACCATCCAGGGGTCCCTCTTAAGGGAAATGAGGTGATATGGTTAATGCCATGCAGCTTGTACCAGGCACCACCAGGAATCACAACCAGGTGTCCTAACTCCAAAGCTCAGCTGGTCCAGTGCCCTTCCCTTAGTCCAATATAGGCAACATCATCCTAGCTATGAGTTTGTCTTTTATGAGCCAAGAGCCTCTTCTTTCTTGCTTTCCTTCTGTGTGACCTTGAGGAAGTCATTCACCTTCTCTCTACCCCAATGTGCTAGTCAGTAACGTGAGGATTGGTAGTAGTACATAACTTCGATAAGCGATGGGAAGATTAAATAAATGTACCACAATGAGGGTCCTGCACATTCCTAACAGGTAGTAAATACTTAGTAAATGGTAGCTTCCATCGAAAATGATTCCGTTATGAACACTCCTCACTCAAGTGACTGGATTGGCAAGGACAGAAGTGTGTGCTATTGACCATGGGAAGCCAAGCAAGAGCACTTGCTAGGCAGATGCCGAGTGCAGATCAATAGGCCACTAACTTTCCAAGCCAGGAGACCCACACGGCAATCCAAGAGGGTACTGTTGAAATGATGGAGAAGATATGAAATTAAAATAATCCAAGTTTAGGTGAGAAACAATCCAAGAAGGAAACTCAAGGGGCACTAAGTTTTCTGAGTACATGAAAACATCAGGCTACTAAGGATCAGATGCTGGAGAAAAACTGAACTGCAGGGAGGCAATGTGGCACACTCCTGGGATCCTGGCATTCCTGGAGGCTAAAGCAGAACAATCACAGGGCTGAGCCCAGACCGAACAACTTAGTGAGATCCTCTCAAATAAATAAATGGCTGGGGATGTAGCCCAGTGTGAAGGCCCTGGGTTTAATACACACAGAAAAGGAACTGAATTTATTTTTCACCACCAACTATATCCTCAGTGCTAGGCAGAGTATTTTATGTGCATTGGCTTTTTCCCAGCCTGTTTTTGTTTTTTTTTAATTTCAGTAAGAATTTTGAAATGGATGTTTTTGCTCCATTTTGCAGATAGGAAAGTAAGCGTCAGGGAGGTCCTAACTTACAGCCAATTTCCAATTTTAGAATGTTCTACAGTGGCATTTTTGGTAAGGCTTCTCACTTTCCTAAGCCTGTTTATCACCATGAATAAAGGAGGCAATTAAGATTCCTGACAGGATAGCAGGCATTTACCTGCAATACACTAGCAACAGCTGCTCTCGTGGGCCCTGGGATAAACAGAGAAGGAGAGCAGAAAAGGAGAGAAAGGAAGATGACACTTGGATTTTTGCAATTGGTAAGCAGTGTTTGACACCTGAGTATCCTTCCAAAGCCATCTTCTTACCTACAAGATGCTTCAAGGATCAAACGTGGTTCAGATCTCAGCTTCACTCAACAGGATCCTGCTACACCAGCTCCCAAGAATAACAGCACAAGGGATTAACTAAGCTTTAATTCTGTATCTCAGCTCTGGCAAGAATTCCATCTGAGGAAACATTTCTGAGGATGCAGAAGACTGCACATCAAATTAAAATGCAGCAGATCCCTGGAACCAATTTCTATAAATTCTACAAGACAGTATTGCAATCTGACAAACCTTCACATCTTGGCTTACAGACGGTGCTGGAAACCTATAGGAAAGCCACAGGCATGCCTAACACCCCAGAGCTAGCCAAGGGCAGAGCCACCACTTGATTTCAATTCCAGGGCATTTCCAGTAAGAGCTGAGGGCAGGGCCAGAAGACAGATACTGCTCTGCGCATCATTTCATTAACACACTAAAAGCAGCATCTACAACCTTCCCTATTTCCTCATCACCCCACCTGGTCTCAATCAACAAAACTGCAGAGCTGGCAAAGGCATCTGACTTCTTGCTCTCCACTATCAGCTTTCAATTTCTCCTATCCCTCTTCTGAGCTGTGATCTTAGAAGGATGAACATACAGAGAAAGGGACCAAGAGAGAGAAAGAACAACACACACCAGCATTGCTAGACTGCCACATGCCCAGCATTGTCAGAAGATGTCATAAAATAAAAAATCTTGAGAGGGGGTTTTTTTCAGCTGCCTGCCTACCTGCCTGTCTGCGATCACCCGGCGGCGTGCACGTGAGCTCCCGGCCTGCGCGACAACAGACCCAGGAAGGACCCAAGGACCCCAGAGGGGGTTTTTCTCAGCTGCCTGCCTACCTGCCTGTCTGCGATCACCCGGCGGCGTGCGCGTGAGCTCCCGGCCTGCGCGACAACAGACCCAGGAAGGAAGGTAGCCGCGCGGGCGCCCTTGAAACACCCACACGACCCCCCCCCCCGTTCTCAAAACTCCTGATCGGGCCAGTCCTTAGACCAACTCTGCAGAGGCATAGGTTCCCATGAAGGGTAGTTTTCTGAGCTCCGAACTTTGATCATCTTTAAAGAAAGGGCAGGGGAAACCTGTAATAGAACGGAGTGGAGTTCAACCCTGAGGGTAAGGAAACTAAAGTTAGGCTTTGTAGATTGTGTTCAGTCTCAGTCGTGAGGAACAGCCATTGGCTAGCTATAACCAGGGGATTGGGTTCCGCATATGACTGTGCATGTGGTATAATATGAGATCAGAGATAGCCTGAAAGAGGACCTTCAAATTCTTTTTCTTTCCCTCTCTCTTGTCTCTTTTTTCCTCTTTCCACCCTAAAATTTCTTTCTTTTTTCTGTCCTGTCTCTCCAACTCAGTCTCTTGCTCCACCATAGTGTCCCTCATCTCCCTTTTTATTCCAGTTCCTGAAGAACTCAGACTTCTTTTTTTATTTTTTGTTTTTAGGACGGGTTTCTCTTTATGTTCTTTTCTCCAGTCATTTTACCTCACTCATGGCTCTGTACCTTCAAGGGAAGGCAAGCGCCTGTTACTGTTAAGGGGATATATTCCTGTCCTTATTCCTGCACTCTCTCTATCCCCCCTGAACTTAATAGCTTTGTAAAGATAGTAAGGTAATTCTACAACCTCTGGATTCACTTCAAACCTGCTCTAATTCTTTCACTTATCTAATCCTCTTGTTCTAAGTCGAACCCCCCATCCTAAATGGTAAAGATGCCATATTGAAAAGAATATTCACTGCAAACATACTATGAGCTGCTTCTTGAAATTAATCTAATTCACATGAGTTAAAGGTGATACATTAATGACTACCATAAGTGGTCAGTTGGCAAGCTGTGCCTGATCCTATTGGGCTGCTGAATGTATCAATTGGGACAAAGAGTGGTGATTGATTTAAAGAGTTGTTTTCTCTGATATTATGAAAACGAGAATGTCTATGAGTCATTAGAAACTCAAAAGCTAAAACGCAACTATATTAGGAAGATTTAAGTAATACCCAGAAATTAAAGAAGGACAACCCAACAATAAAAATAAAAATGAGAAAACACTTAAGCAAGACACAAAAACAAATATCCAGTTCACCAATAGCAAATAGTAGGACAAATGAGGATGAAAAGTCTGATAGTGAACCAACAGGACTCCCTGGACCCATAGCACAGGAGGTAACAAAATTGATCAATCAGGCTCTAGAAAAATTCAAATCAGAAATAATTTCCCAGCTAGCCAGAGAGATGATGAGCAAAATAGAAGTCATGATTCGAGACTCTAGAGCAGAAACTGAGAAAAAAATAGATGAGCTCAAGACTGTGATAGAAGCCATGAAGACTCAGCATAAGAAAGACATGGAAACAATGAATGCCCAACAGAGGAAAGAAATGGAATCCATAAAACAGATTCAAACAGATATCCAGGAGATTAAAAACTCTATTGAAAGTGTACGAAACAGAATAAAAGATTGCGAAGATAGAATTTCAGATATAGAAGATAGGATAGCAGTCAGTGACCGTGAAAAAAGAGGTCTATTAAAAACAGTAAGGGATCATGAGAAATCAATCCAACAACTCCTAGACGATACAAAGAAAAATAACATAAGACTGATAGGAATTCATGAAAAAACAGGAGAAAACACAAATGATATAAAAAAGCTCTTCACAGAATTAATGACAGAAAACTTCCCAAACAGAAGGGAAGAATTAGACATACAGATAAGTGAGGCATATAGAACCCCAACTAGCCACGATCAAAAAAAATCTACACCTAGACATATAATAATCAAGATTCCAGAAATCCAACAGAAAAACAAAATACTACAAGCAGTAAGAGAAAAGAAACAAATCACATGCAAAGGGAAGCCCATTAGAATCACAGCAGACTTTTCAACACAAACCCTTAGGTCAAGGAGAGCCTGGAGTGAGGTATTCCAAGTCCTAAAAGAAAAGAATCTCCAACCTAGACTTTTGTATCCTGCAAAACTCTCTTTCAAAATAGATGGGGAAATAAAATACTTCCACGACAAAGAGCACCTGAGAAATTTCATGAACACCAAACCAGCACTGCAAGGAATTCTAAACAATATCCTAGAAAAGGACAACGAAATTCACAATAACATGAGGCCCAACAGACCAAATCAAATAGGCAAGGCAAGAAACTAAAAGGAGATGGGAGAAAAAGTAAAAAGAGTCAACAAATGGACAAAAACATGACAAGAATAAGTCAAAATATATCAGTTGTAACCATCAATGTTAATGGCCTCAATTCACCAATCAAGAGAAACAGATTGGCAGAATGGATTAAGAAGCAAAATCCAACAATATGTTGTATACAAGAAACACACCTAGTGCAAAAGGAAGTCCATAGACTGAAAGTGAAAGGATGGAAAACAATTCTCCATGCGTCAGGAGTCCAGAAAAAAGCAGGGGTAGCAATCTTATTCTCAGATAAAGTAAATTTCAAACCAAAACTCATTAAGAGAGACAAAGAAGGACACTACATCCTTGTAAAGGGA